TCAGGCGTCCGGGGGGATGAAATTAAAAAGGGAGGGTCGCGCATGGTATGGACACATACTCCTAAAGTTTCAGCCTTCTAGCTTTTCTGGTTCTGGAGCTGAAAGTGGGCGACAAAAAGTACGAACAAACAGACACACGCACAGCCTCTTCCCAATATGCGTTTTTGCAATTTACATATATGCAAAAATGCATAATAAGAAAAGCACCTCCAAGTCGTCATGAATCTCTGCGGTGCGCTACCTACCGTACTTCCCATGCTTCTGTGCTAATAGTCCAATGCTTTTGTTCCCTAGTTTTGACAACTCTAACTGTTAGCAATGGAGACCCTGCATATGCCTACTACTTGCTGCTAAGGAAAAGGATTCCGAAGAACTCTGTCCACTGCTCGGCTGATTACGCCGAAGACCAGCTATTATCGAAGGGCGATGGCCATGACAAGACAATACAGTATGCGGGTGCGGTGCGCAACAGTTCAGATTCGGCGAAAAAGGATGGAAAGAGTAGAAGAAACTGTTAGATGCATTTGAATCAAAAAATTAGAAAGTCTGCCCCCTTTGCAACAACTAAATTAACAATTTTCATGAAACAAACAGCCTGCCTTTGCTGGCTAGTGGCTTATATACATCCAGAAATCAAGTAGTGCAACTGTCAGTTGATGTATGCTGTTGTTATGCGATTGTATGAAAGCCTACTCTGTTCTCATTCCGGCATATGCAAAACTCATAGTAGGTATCGCAGAGGCGGAAAGAACACATTAAAACGATTCAATGAAGCTGGGCAAAAAAAAAAATAATTTGCCAACGCACGGGCTGCCTGTGCGAAGATGCGTTTTTTGCACAGCTCCCCGCAGATTTTTGTCGCTAACGACACTGGTTTTTCCGACAGGTACTTCTAGCTAAAATTTTTCAGAGTGGCCGTCAGGACTGTTAGGACATATCCTTCAAAAAAAAAATTCCAATCTTTTAGCTCCTCAGATTCCCGAGTTATGAACTTATCCGAAAGAAAATTTGGCAGGCCCTTACGTGGGTATCACGCTTACCCAAGGGCTGGGTTTGAGTGCACTAATACCCATTTGAACGGGGGACACCAGTCTAAGATTTCAGCTTTCCAGCTTCTCAGATCCCCGAGTTATGAACTTACCAGAAAAAAATTTTGGCAGGCCCGTACACGGATACCACGCTTACCTGAGGGCTGGTTTTAAGCTCACTAATACCCACTTGAACGGGGAACATCACCCTAAGATTTCAGCTTCTCAGATCCCCGACTAATGAACTTACCCGAGAAAAATTTTGACGGTCCCATACGCGGTATCGCGCGAGTAATGGCGCCTATTTTGAGGATTGGGGCCCGTGCGTGCATGTAGATAAAGTTCCCAAAGTTTCAGCCCTGTAGCTTTTGTAGATCTTGAGATGAAAAACCGTGACAGACGCAC